TTTTTGGGATAGTGCAAAGACTATATGGTCAATGAGGGTATTATGTACCAGTTTTCCGCAATTGACGCTAAATGTATTTAGGTGTCAAATAGGAATAACAGAATTCCACTTCACATGGTTAGATCTATGATCAGCTATGCTACATTATCTCTTTCATTTAAGAGTTTAGCGTTAATGACATCGATGCGCATTATGAACTGCATTCCATCTTAGTCTGTCTCAAGGATACCGTTGAGCTGTGTTTTTGACTAAATCTTAGTTTGAATCACATGCACGTATGGGGTAATCTTGCACATGTGCGTTTGATATGGACAAGTAAGTTGAAAGTAGATCATAGGCATGCTAGATTTGATAGCTACTTTTAAGTCACTAGGATAGATTATTTTATGATCTCAAAGATAAAAGTTGATTGTTTACACTCACTGTTTATCTATAGGAGAATCATATTATGAATCACATACCTAGTAACATAATGTTAGAGAATATGGTATGAGTACCAGATGTACCACATGTGAACACACTTATTATAGAGATTGAGAATAATATATGAATTCTCTATTGATGCGTCAGCATCATCTAGTACACAGATTCCTGCATCGGTACATTAATGTAGTGGGAGGATTATCATCCAACCGATAGAATCATGTTTTTAGGTGAGACCATTATGGACATCCCTGTTAAACATGAGTTGGACCCAGTAAGCTACACGGAAGTGTGAACCGATATGGATACAGATCGTTTTGGCGAGTTATTATGAAATCAGAGTTGGAATCTATGTATTCTAATAAATTCTGGGATCTTGTAGAACTTTCTAGTAGGGTGATACCTATAGAAGGCAAGTTAATCTACAAAAAGATACCAGAAGATTTCTTAGTGAATAAATCATGAGTGTACAAGGGAATGTCATTATTTTTCTTAATTCTATATATTGATGACATCCTATTCATTTATAATGACGTGGAAGTTTTGTCATCAATAAAAAGGTAGTTGTTCAATTACTTTTAAATGAAGGATTTTCAAGATGTAAGCTATATTTCTAGGATCAAGCTTTTACAAGATCAGGTTAAAAGGAAAATAGGCTTATCTTAATAATCCTACATTGATAAAGTTTTGACTAGGTTTGGTATGCATAACTCAAAGAATGAGTTCTTGCTTTATTGATATGGATTGCTCTCTCTAGTAAGTAGTTTTTCAAGACTATCAAAGGAGATTGAGCAAATGAGACTGGAACAATATGCTTCGGCATATGAGAGTCTCATATATGCCATGGTCTATACCAAACAGGACATCCGCTACATTGTAGGGATAGTCAGTAAAGATCAGTCCAATACTGGACTTGACAACTAGTCTGTTGTGAAAAATATCATTAAGTACCTAAGGAGAATTAATGATATCATACTCATTTATGGATGTGATGATATGGTCCTAGTCAGGTATGCTAGTTCTGATTTTCAATCAGAAGTAGATACTATGAGGTTCATGACTTAGTGTATATTCACTTAATGGAAGGGAAATCAGTTGGTAGATTGTTAAGCAGATTTCAACTGCTGACTCAAACCTGCAGGTGGAATATATTGCAGCCTTAAAGGCGGCAAAAGAAGCCTATTGGTTTGATCTCACTGATTTAGAGGTTGTGGAGCATACTAGCCTGCCTATCGAGCTATATTGCGATAATAATGCAAAAGTAGTCCAAACCAATGACCCAAGGTTCCATAGATGAACAAAATACACTGATAGGAAGTATCATGTTCTACATGATATTGTCCGGCAAGAAAATGTACTTGTGGCTAGAACATTGCATTGGAACACAACTTTGTTGATCCATTAACAAAGGTGTCGTCGATCAATAGTTTTGATCAACACCTGGATAACATTGGAGTTAGATGCAATTTGAATTGGCTATGAGGAAAATGTACTTGTGGCTAGAACATTGTATTGGAACACAACTTTGTTGATCCATTATCAAAGGTGTTATTGATCAATAATTTTGATCATCATCTGGATAACATTGGAGTTAGGTGCAATTTGAATTGGCTATGAGGGCAAGTGGGAGCTGTTGGGATTTATATGCCCTGGCATAGCAAATTCCTGTTTGAATTAAAGTGACATATGTTCCTGACGTTTATGAAATATTTATGTTTTATACAATTGGTGAATTCAATGTATTATATTTCGATTCATTATAGAATTGATAGTGTCCATTTGATTACAAGAGATATTTATATATATGTTTGTGATGGCAATCAATGCATGATATATAAATAGTAATCATAAATGGTTCATAGTCGGTAATTATGGATGGACTCATAATTAATTAAGATTTGAACTGGATCCGCGTTAGGTTGAGATATATTGCGAGAGCCGTCGTATGCAATTGCTCCCTATCACCGTCATGGCATTTGACTCTTAAGTATGAGAAAATTATAGACTCTTTTATTAATTAATAATTATTTTGATTTGTTCGGCGGATTCTTCGGGATCCTTAGACCGACACTTTGGGTAGTTATGTAATTAATAGTTAGAGGGTTATATTTTCAATATTTGCATCATTGCTACTTGTATTTATTTTGTATTGATTATAGTTGATCACAAAGTAAATTCGAAGGCCTTCGTGTATTTTTAGACAAAATGATTTATTATATATTTATTTATTTAAATTATTATTTTTGTCAAACAAATGTTTTATTGTGATCGAGCCAGAAATAATCAAAGGTACCAAAATAAATATATTAATTAAGTAGTCGGATTGATGGCTTTATTTATCCGATAACTAATTATGCATAGAGGGGTCAAAGTGCAATATTGACTCAGAGGTTATTTATTATTTAATTGGAGTTCAATTAATTTCTTTTAGTGGAGTAGAAATTAATTTATGAATTAATTGAATTGGGTCCATGGACCGGGCTAATTATTAATTCATTGTAGCCAATAAAATAATAGGCCCAATGGATTCTCACTCATAGCCCAACTTGATATTGGAATCATATTAGATTTGAGATATATGAATTAGAGATGAAGAAGGATTTGTTGTTTCCTTTTCTTTATTTTTATGTTGCCTATAAATATACATGGTTTATGTATATTTTAGGGTGTGATTTTTATGAGAAGGAAAAAAGGAATATTTTTTCTCTCTCTAGAAAATTAGGGTTTATGTTCTCATCTAATGGAGGCTCCCACAAGCCTAATTTTCCGAGGTAATTCATGGAGGCTTATGAATGATTCCTAAAGGCAAAATAATTACCAAGAAGATGGAGATCCAAGGAGAAGGCATCTTGCTAAGGGATCTACAATAAGTGAGAATATTAACTTTAGAGGAAAATTTTAAAGGTTTACTCAGACCTTTGATGTAAGTATTCAATCCATTAATTGAATGATAAATCATATTTTTATTTTTGCATAAAACTTGTCTCTATGTGATGAATCAAGATCTATGAATCAAAATCCCTCGAAAAGTTTTTAAAACTTGCACGTTTCCTAACAACTACCTCCGTCCCAAAAATAATGTCATATTTCGGGAACCGTGTCAGTTCAATTTGTGAGAGTACGATTTCCTAAAAGTTACACTTTTTATGGGGACGGAGGGAGTATAAATTTGTCAGGTAATATGTACTTGGGGATGTGTATCAATTTAAACCGGAAAATATGCTCAACATCAACAAGGAAGATGAGTACTTTCAACAATTGAAGTATTTTTGCAGTATTTCTTGAAGTTATTTTTGTTCTGTAACATCAAAGCACCTCAATCTCACAAACACACCCAAAATAAAATTATAAAATAATAATAATAATAAAACATAAATCTAAATATTACACTCAGGTTCCGTTTATTTCGATATAAAATATTCTTTTTGAAAAATATTAGTATTTTTTTTTCAGGTAAAATATTATTTTATTTTTACTTTGTCGGTGTTTAACAAAGATTTACGTCGAGATTGAGATTGAGTCCATCGGGTGTGACATGTAAAATAATTTATCAAAAATTTAAGGATAAATTATTTTTGTTAAATTTTAATTTTTTTTTTTCGTAAATATTTTACGACAATCAAATACCACAAGAAAAATATATATATATATATATATATATATATATATATATATATTTTACGTTCAAACAAACGAAGACTTAATATATATATATATTTTACGTTGAAACAAACGGAAACTTAAAATTATAAAGTGATGGTAAAATTTACTGTCTGCCAATCAAGGAAAGTACACAGAAAGTGAACGAAGGCAAGTTCCATCTGTACGTCACTTCTTTATTATTACTGGGCGCAGGTGGCTTTGGTTGGTTAAACTCCCATATGTAACTTATTCCTTAACTGGTATCAAGACGCGCATTAAATGTGTGCCATCACCACTACCCGAGCAGAGGCATGCTACTATCGATCTATCAGGGGGTCAAGTAAGAGGACCATCGGTTAAGGGGGAAATCGGCTCTCGCCACTATGGTACTTGCCCAAATAAGAGATAGTATAAATAAGAGTAATAAATAGCCTATAAATACAGGGCACTTGACAGTTCTAAGACACAAAGAAAGACAATTGATGCTTTACCAAAATCTTTTGTCTCATCCAACTCTTAAAAGTTATCAAATTCAATTTTGAAGATTTGAAGAAAGCTAAACAGTTCATGATCGAACTCTTTGTAACTCTTGCATCCGAATTTATTTATTTATTTTTTTATAATTGGTACCTCCGCTGAGAAACATTCGTTATGGTACAATATTAAGGAAATTTAATCTGAAAAACATTCATTGTGGTGCAATAGAGAACTATATATCTTTCTGAAATTGATAGAATCAAATATTTTTCGACAGGATCTTTGTATTTACAACATAGCTAGGTGTTTATTTAATAAATTTTAATATAATTTGGCGCTGAGATCCGAGTCCTTGCAGGATCTCTTGAATGTGCAATATTATTCAAGAATCGCGTGAGTAAAAGTATCTTTTTCCGAACACTTACACGAGTTATTGGATGTTGCCTTCTAGAAGTACTTCATGGTGGTGCTCGCAGATTGTTCAACAAGTGAACGATGAATAGGAATAAACAAATGGTAGAAATGGCAATGTAGAAGATGTATAGACCCCAGAAGTTCTGGAGGCTCAAGCTACTTCCCTTCTCCTTGGCAGTTTGAAAGTTCGAACAATCCCAGGAGGTAGGGAAGTACTCATCTTCCAATTTTTTCAAACTGCCATCCTCCATTAGTGTTAGAATGGCTTTAGAAACATTGGCAGCTATCAGAGAACCCTTTTGGAAGACCTGCGCATAGAGCAAGAGAAGATCTAACATTAACTTAGTTTGCATATGTAATTAATGGTAGATAAACAGGTTTATATATATATCATTTTTATTTGGGTAAATTATAAGTACGTGGTTATATAGCTATTGTTTATGGATTAGTGATGAAGAAATTAAGGTGGTGTTCAAGAAACTAAAGGGATTCAAAATATATAGTGTTTGTTTTACTAATTACTATTGCGTTTTTTTTAAAAAAAAAAAATAAAAATAATAAATAAAAAGGAAAAAAACAGAAGAAAGAAGATTATTTGAAGCCGCCACTCACAAAGCCAAGTCCTCCGAATTTATATGTTGGTCCTGTGATCGTAAATAGATCGCAATATTGCTTGACAATAGCTTCTGCATAAGGGACTTCAAGAAATGCCGCTGAGATACTGCCATTATTGAAAGATTCCAGGTAATGGGATTTGGTGGCAATGTCGTCCCTGATGTTCTCCCTTTTGAAATGAAGTACATTCGCTAAGTAGTCTTTTACAACGCTATTGCCATAGCAGCCAACTACGGCATTGTCCTTAATGAGTGAGTCCACATTTGGACCAAGTCTTGAGATGGTAAGCATTGAAGAGAAATTGGCAGTGTAGCTTTGTGTTACGATCAACACCACAAAAAGCCATACCACCACCACCACTCGAGTATAGTTGTGTTGAATTCCTTCCCATGCAAAATTTATTCATTTTATTCCCTAGCTATATCAAAATTTGTAACATATATGAAGACTATGAATACTATATCAAACCAATTTACAACTAATTAGATGGTTGAACCACACTAATATATGTTTAATGAAATGTTTTGTACTTACTGTGAGCAGAGAAAAGTGATGAAAAGGTGAACCAAAGAACGTTGCCGAGTTGGTCCTTCCATGAGCCACAGAATTCTGGATTGGAGCGATGCTCCAATAACCAAACTATAAATATTGTGTATATCAAAATGGCCGCAGTCGCTATCCACAATTCCGTAGTGAAAGGGGTCAAAAACATCCATGCATTGGAAGCTTGGGGCTTCACTGGAGCCACCAATGACATACCTGGCGCAGTAAATAGTGCACTAAATTCCACAACTTCCCACCATCTACCAAGCAGCGTTATATCACCCACGGCAGCATCGAAAGTCTTCAATAAAAAACAAAAATTTCACAATTGGGTATTTGTTAGAAATAAATAATTGGATGGAGAAAATGACATTCAAGAATATTCAATTATAATAATAATATATTTTTTTTCCCTGACCGCCGTGTGCTCATAATATACGCATCATTTAAGTGTTAAAATAAAATATTGGTGGTGACCGGTGAATTACTAGTTTAGCAATGTTCTATTTATTTATTTTGGATGATTGGAAAAATCGTATAATTTCTAAAAAAAAAAAAAAAAGAAAAAGAAAATTAGATTAGTTATATAGCAAATAAAGTTTATTAAATGACAAAAAGTCCAATTTATAGTAGAAAATTATAGACATATTTGAATTGCTAAACAAAAATTTGGTTTGCATATAAAATTTTGAATAGAAATTGTAATTGCAAAATTTTATTATGTATGGCTTGACACTAAATTGTGAAAAAATTCAAAATTTTTGAAAGTAAAAAACGATATTGTTTGAGTTGTATAATCAATAATAAAGAGAAATCATATGACTTTTTTTCAAAAGAAATGTTCTCTTGACGGGATTATTATGTAATCCAAGACTTGATGGATAAAAGTTTGGAGATTGGTTTATTATACCTTGTCGATGACACAATTAACTAATTCATCATAGTTGCCTACGAACTCCTCAAACTTGTAGGGTAAATCATACGTGGAACTCAAATTCTGTGATACCCCTCAGATCCAAGACGCGGGTTGATCAGGCCCAGGCCCAAACCCGAGGGATATCAGACAATTAAAGTATTTTAAAATGAACATGGATTACAAAATAATGAAGAAAATAAATAATAACGCTGAAAGAATTCTAAATTAAAAATCCTCAAACTATAATTATTAAAATCCGATAATCCAAAACTCCATAAGTTTAACAATTCGGGAATCCATCCTTGTAGACCCCTAATAAAATCCCAAACTGAAACTGAAATAACTGAAATGAAACATAAAGCTAAACATAGAGAGTAGTCCTACGTAAACGGAGGAGTGAGTGTCTGTATTTGCTCTGCATGTCCAAGCTTTAACCCTGGAACTGACGAACACCTGAAAAATAAAGAGTGGGTCAGGCCCACATGCAAGTCCTATTCTACTACGATCCAAACAGTAATCCAATACACAGATACATCCTAGATAGCTCAACAATATCTATCTAGTCCATACATATATATATATATCCACACTAAGGGATATTCACTGGACTACAGTAGGGGTCTCAACATGAATAGAAGGCAATATGCGAAAAAACACCCAAAGGTGGGCATGAGTACTTAGACCTAACAGGGTACACCTCAACCTACTTTAACCAACTATGCATCCACTGCATATACGCACCCTAACCAACGACTCTGAGACTCAAGCTCATCTCGTGGTACCATAAACATATATATATAATCCGTCCAAAACCAGGATATGTCATTCAAATACTTATTAAGATGACATACAATATACAAACTAGTTAGTCACTCAACTTATTCAGTTGATATGACTTAACTACCATCCATTAATCCAGGAAGCCATTCAACTTAGTCGCAGTTGATCTGACTTAGTCACAATTAGGATTTAATATTTTTCAATCCATTCCTTTAATCCGATAGGTTAGGTTTAAGCGTTTTGAGTTAAACCATCCCTAATATGTCACTGTCCCATACCGGTGCATACAATCCTCCTTATCTTTGTAAATTACAACACATGCATAATAAGCTAGTAATTTACAATCCAAACCATTATCCATATCATTGCAGAAAAGTATTTAAAATTTCAGCAATATACATCGCAGCATTAATTCATGTAATTGCACTAGAGAATTTGATATTCCAATAATTAACATCCAGAGCATGTATAGTTCAAACTTTAAATATAAAATGATCTATCATGCATCCAAATATAAGATTTATAATCTTATTACAATCCATTACGTTGCCCAAAATTTAACTAAGCAATTTGGTTCTTTCCATCCATTATCAGTATGCTAAGCTGTATGCTTTTATACTGATTCATCCTTTAAATAATTTATAAAATTATTTTCAAATCCATTTTGTCCAATTCCTTAGGCCTAAGAGATGTATTATACACTCTAGAACCTTCCCTAGTCCATTTAACCCATTTGATTTAATTAAAATAGGTTTTAAAACAAATCTGGACGTTTGAAACCAAAAATCCCAACTCAGCCGCCTAAGTTACAACTAAGCAGCCTAAGTTACCAACTGAGCCCCCTAAGTTACCAACTCAGCCCCCTAAGTTACAAACTCAGCCCCCTAAGTTACAAACTTAGCCGCCTAAGTTAGTGCGGAGGTCGTCTTCTTCGTCTGTTCAGCCTCTGTAAAGCCTAAAACTCCATTGTTAAGGTCTCCAAACTTCAACCTATGTCCCATACGTCCATAATAAATTATTTTAAATGATTTAGCAGACAAAGATTCAAATTAAACCACAATTCATGCATAAAGATCTAAGAAATAAAGAAATCATGAAGAAGCATATAAAATCTAAAACTCTCTGTTTTAATCCAATTAAACATACATGATTATTATGTTTTTAGCATTAATTAAGCTCCTGGAGTTTAGCTAGGCATGCACAAAACACAGATTAAAGGGAAAGAGAAGAACAGAAACTTGCCTTTGAGTTTCAGATTTTAAACTCTAATCCACGTCTCTGAACTTTCCGTCAATGTTCTAGGCTGTAGTTCTATACCTCCAGTGCTTTGGTTCCACCCAGAAACAACCACGTTCCTTCCTCCTTGAATTGCTTTGTTAATTACCCAAGTTCCACTCTCGGTTCCTCTCTGCCTCTCACAACCTTACTCTGTTTTCTCTTAATATACTAAGTACGTGAATAGGATTTTTTTCTAACCCTAACAGACTTATACAAGCTTATATATAAGCCCCAATGAAAACCTAATCCTAATCCCAAGCTAATTAAAAGTCGGTTATACAAAAACGTGATATCTAAAACAAAACCCTAAAACAATTAAAACATTTAATTCATCTAAATTAAATAAAGAATATAATAAACCATTAACTAAAAAAAAACACATAATTTAATTAAATAACATAAATACCATTAAGCAAATAAATTATTCAATTAACTAACACAATTAACACAATTCACTCAACTAAGCAAATACACAATTAAACAATTAAAACAAAACAATTAAACAATTAAAAATATAATTAAACAATTAAAAATACAATTAAATAATTAATTAAATACCAGGACTATCCTTTTAAAATTAGGGGTATTACAAATTCTTCACCACTGCTCTGAATACATCGACGCAAAAACCAGTAAATTTCTTCTCATCTGAGTTCTTGGTAGGTTGTTCTACCTTTCCAAACTGGTCAGAAAAAGTGTTGACCGGAACTCCGATTCTCATCAGATTTTCAGCAGTAGCCATTGCCCATTCTTCAGCTTTAACATTTATCATTGCACTGAAAGTGAGAATGAATGAAGCATGAAATAGAATAGAAAGAGGTAGCCAAACTGTATTTAGGGTTCTCATTTGGAGGCAATTTTTTTTCTTCCTTTTTTTTTTTATAGTAAAAATGGTAAGTAGTATAAATAGAAGAAAAGAGTATACAAATTGGACTCCTATGGGAGCCAAATTAATTAGGTCCTTTAGACCAAGCCATCTTTTGATTTAACAACAATTTCAATATATATATCTATACTATTATTAAATGTGTAAAGTGTTTCAGTATTTCAGTATTTTATTAATTGATATAAATTCTATAAAACTCAAAATTACCTAATAAAATTCAAATTAATTAAAATTAACAAAATATAAAAAGAGTTTAAGTAAAAATGATTACATGAAAGCCTCTTATAAAACTATAGAGTTAAAGAAGTAATAATCACACATTCTCGGCCCTTTGGCTAAGATTAAGTGTAGTACTAAATTTTTTTGAATCGACCTTTTAGCTAACCTTTCTAAGCCTTTTGGCCAAGATCAAGTGTAGTATTACTTTCTCGACATTTGTGCAAAGAGTTTCAGTATTTATTTATTAATTGATATAAATTCTATAAAACTCAAAATTACCTAATAAAATTAAAATTAATTCAAATTAACAAAATATAAAAAGAGTTTAATTCAAATTACAAAGTCCCACATTGATTTTAAGTAAAAAGGATTACATGAAAGTCTCTTATAAAATTATAGAGCTAAAGAAAATAATCACACCTTCTCGGCTTTTTGGCTAACATCAAGTGTAGTACTAAATTTTTTTTGGTTAGCCTTTTGGCTAACCTTTTTGGTCTTTTGGCTAAGATCAAGTGTAGTACTATTTTCTCGGTCTTTGTGTAAAAAGTTTCAGTATTTATTTATTAATTGATATAAATTCTATAAAACTCAAAATTACCTAATAAAATTCAAATTAATTCAAATTAACAAAATATGAAAGAGTTTAATTCACAATAAAGAGCTCTTATTAATTATTATATCTCACGATATAAATTCTATAAAACTCAAAATTACCTAATAAAATTAAAATTAATTCAAATTAACAAAATAAGTATTTATTTATTAATTGATATAAATTCTATAAAACTCAAAATTACCTAATAAAATTAAAATTAATTCAAATTAACAAAATTTAAAAAGAGTTTAATTCAAATTACAAAGTCCCACATTGGTTTTAAGTAAAAATGATTACATGAACGTCTCTTATAAAAATTTTAGTATTTCAGTATTTATTTATTAATTTATATAAATTCTATAAAATTCAAAATTACCTAATAAAATTAAAATTAATTTAAATTACAAAGTTCCACATTGGTTTTAAGTAAAAAAGATTACATGAAAGCCTCATATAAAACTATAGAACTAAAGAAATAATAATCACACATTTTTGGCCTTTTGGCTAAGATTAAGTGTAGTACTAAACTTTTTTGGATTGGCCTTTTAGCTAACCTTTCTTGATCTTTTAGCTAAGATCAAGTGTAGTACTACTTTCTCGGCCTTTGTGAAAAGAGTTTCAGTATTTACTTATTAATTGATATAAATTCTATAAAACTCAAAATTAATATAAAAGAGTTTAATTCACAATAAAGAGCTCTCATTAATTATTATATCCCACGATAAAAATTCTATAAAACTCAAAATTACTTAATAAAATTAAAATTAATTCAAATTAACAAAATATAAAAAGAGTTTAATTCAAATTACAAAGTCCCATATTGGTTTTAAGTAAAAAGGATTACATGAAAGCCTCTTATAAAACTATAAAGCTAGGAAAATAATAATCACTCATTCTCGGCCTTTTGGCTAAGATCAAGTGTAGTACTAAATTTTTTTGGATTGGCCTTTTGACTAACCTTTCTTGGTCTTTTGGCTAAGATCAAGTGTAGTACTACTTTCTCGACCTTTGGGCAAAGAGTTTCAGTATTTATTTATTAATTGATATAAATTCTATAAAACTCAAAATTACCTAAGAAAATTCAAATTAATTCAAACTAACAAAATATAAAAGAGTTTAATTCACAAAAAAGAGCTCTCATTAATTATTATATCCCACGATATAAATTCTATAAAACTCAAAATTACTTAATAAAATTAAAATTAATTCAAATTAACAAAATAAGTATTTATTTATTAATTGATATAAATTCTATAAAATTCAAAATTACCTAATAAAATTAAAATTAATTCAAATTAACAAAATATAAAAATAGTTTAATTCAAATTAGAAAGTCCCAAATTGGTTTTAAGTAAAAAGGATTACATGAAAGCCTCTTATAAAACTATAGAGGTAAAGAAATAATAATCACACCTTCTTGACCTTTTGGCTAAGATCAAGTGTAGTACTACTTTCTCGGCTTTTGTGCAAAGAGTTTCTATATTTATTTATTAATTGATATAAATTCTATAAAATTCAAAATTAATAACCAACCAAGCAGGACCCAAAGCCCTGAAACTTACCACATGCTTCCACGGTAATAAATTATTATAACAGTAATTACTTAATAAAATTCTAATTAACAAAATATAAAAAGAGTTTAATTTACAATTCAAATTATACTATACTACTCTCATTAACAAAAACCTATTCATAAAAAGAGTTTAATTCACAATAAAGAGTTTATTTATTATATCTCACAATCAGTAAAAAGTTTAATTAAAATTAAAATTATACTAAAATTTAAAACATATAATAATTAATTTTTCTAATATAATATTTATTAATTGATACGTAAAATAAAATAATTTTTCTAAAACTCTACCACAAATTAGCTTTTATTGTAAGTTTCTTAATAAAATTAAATCTAATTAGACAAGGATATATTTAAATAAATAAAATAATTTCTATAAAACTCTATCACAAATTACCTATTCTATTTTCAATAAAACTCTATCATACTAGACAAAGATATATTTAAAGAGTTTCTATAAAACTCCGACACAAATTACGTATTTATCTATTTATTGTGAGTTTTTTTAATAAAAGGAAATCTAATTAGACAAGTATTATTAATATAAAAAATTATTTATTAATTGATATAAAAAGAGGTTCAAACGAGTTTCTATAAAATTCTAACGCAAATTACCTATTTATCTATTTATTATTAGTTTTTTTTAATAAAAGTAAATCTAATTAGAGTTGAATTATTAAAATAAAAAAATATTTTTTAATTGACATAAAAAGAATTTTAAAAAGATTTTATATTAAACTCTAACACAAATGACTTATTTATTTCTTTATTATAAGTATTTTAATAAAAGAAAATCTAATTAGGCAAGAATTATTAATGTAAAAAATATTTTTGAATTGATATAAAAAATAAAATAATTTTCCAAAAACTATATTACAAATTACCTTTTAGTATTAGTTTTTTTAATAAAAGCTAATCTAATTTGACAAAATTATTAAAATATAAAAATATTTATTAATTCATATAAAAAGAGTTTTAAAAATATTTCCTGTAAAACTCTAACACGCATTACCTATTTATCTATTTATTATGAGTTTTTTAATAAAAAATATAATTAAACAATAATATATTTAAAGGAAATAAAAATTTTCTATAAAATCTATCACAAATTATCTAACTCAAAAATTTACCTAATAAAATTCATATTAAACTATTTATCTATTTATTATTCTGAATTTTTTAATAACAGAAATTCTAATTGGACAATAATTATTTATATAAAAAATATTTACTAATTGATATATAAAATAAATTAATTTTTTCTAAAACTCTACCACAAATTAGCTTTTATTATGATTTTCTTAATAAAATTAAATTAAATTAGACACGGATATATTTAAAGAAAATAAAACAATTTCTATAAAACTCTATCACAAATTACCTATTTTTTTAAAAAAAAACTCTACCACAAATTAGCTTTTCTTATGAGTTTTTCATAAAATGAAATCTAATTAGACAAATATTATGAATATAGAAAATTATTTATTAATTAATATAAAGAGAGGTTTTCAAAGAGTTTTTATAAAACTCTAGCACAAATTACCAATTTATCAATTTATTATGAATTTTTTAATAAAAAGAAATCTAATTAGACTAGAATTATTAAAAATATATATATATGTATTAATTAATATAAAATGAGTTTTTAAAAGAGTTTATATTAAACTCTAACACAAATTACCTATTTATTTATTTATTATAAAATATTTATTAATTGATATAAAGAGAGAAATTCAGAAGGGCATAGACCCAGAATTACAGAAGCTCCACCAAAGAATTTCTGTATTTATTTATTTATATAAAAAATATAGATTATAGAAGCTCTGCCAAATAGTTTCAATATTTATTTATATAAACAAAAATTTTCAAACTTGCAAGGAGTTTCAGTATTTATTTATTTATATAAAAAATATTTATTAAATGATATGAAAAGAGTTTTTATAAAATAAAAAAAAAAAATTCTATAAAACTTAAAAATCTACCTAATGAAATTAAAATTAACCTATTTATCTATTTATTATTCTGAATTTTTTAATAAAAGAAACTCTAATTTTCAAAGTAAAATACAAAAGCTCTGCCAAAGTGTTTATTATTAAAAAAATTCATAATAATAAGAAAATCAAAAGTGTTTCAGTATTTATTTATTTATATAAAAAAATATTTATTAATTGATATAAAAAGAGTTTTTATCAATACTATTATTAAATGTGCAAAGAGTTTCAGTATGTAAGTATCAATTTATATATAAAAAAATATTTATTAATTAATATGAAAAGAGTTTTTATAAAATAAAAAAAATAAAAAAAATAAAAAGACTATCAAACTCTAAAATCTATCTAATAGAATTTAAATTAACCTATTTATTTATTTATTATTATGAATTTTTTAATAATAGAAAATCTAATTAGACAATAATTATTAATATAAAAAATATTTATTAATTTATATATAAAATAAAATAATTTTTCTAAAACTCTACCACAAATTAACTTTTATTAT